AGATAATTATGTTATTTGAAGCTTAGATTGAAGATATTGAATTTATTGTTATGGGTTGTTTATTTGATTCTGCTTCTAATTATTTTACTGCGTAGCTAACAGTGAAATATTATTTACGAATCTTGAACTAAACTAGACAAAGAAAATTCTTGGTTGCATATAGAATCAAATAGAACAAGTTTTGAATCTCGGGCATCGGGTGAAGAATTCGCAATTAAGATAGACATATACTTAATTGCCTTGTTTGATTGAAAAATATGAGTTGTAAATGCATTCTTGCTAATATTAATACCATAGACATATAGGTATTAGTTTAACTTGAATAGATGCATAAGAACTCGAAAGATTCTTATGAATATTATTAACCCTATAATCAACAACCCGGATAATTCAATAAATCCATTTTAAGCTAAAATAGTAGCATAATTTCTTGCAAGTCCATGACCCGAGAATATATTTATCCAAATTGTTATAAACATATTGTGAAATTAGTGTAGTAATTTTGTGTTGAATTATTGTGCAATTATTAAGTAAGTTGTAAATTGGTTCTTTAAATATTTTGTAATAATATAGCATAAATTGATAATTGTTTGAGTCTACATCAGTCGATAAGTTGATCACAATTTCTCGTGGGAACGATACTTTACTTACTACTATATTACTTGTCGATCGCGTACACTTGCGTGAGCATTTTGGTCGCAACAATCTTGCCTTGCGAGCCAACTCCGTCAGTTCCATCACTTTCTTTTCCTTTTCTTTCATCATCAGCTCTTTCTGAAGCTTTGACCGCATTGCAACTTCTTCTCTGGCTTTCTCTTCTGCAACATACAAAGCCTCCGAAATTGGTTACTAGTTACTTGGAGAACAAACTAGTTACTAGCTAGGAAACAAAATTGGTTACTTGGTCGCCAAGCTACTTATTTGGTCATTAAATTTTTTTTTGGGTCACTAAGCTATTTTCTTTCTTATAATAGCATGTTTGGCTAGGCTTCTAATCAGCTTATTTTGAGAAGTGTTTTTCTCAAAAGAACTTTTAGAAAAAGTGCTTCTGGTGAGAAACAGTTTCTGTTTGACTAATTAATTTGAAAAATACTTTTGAGCAGTAATTAGTATTTGGCCAAGCTTTTGAAAAATGCTTGTAAGTGTATTTTTCTCAAAAGTGCTTCTCAGAAAAATGTTTTTGAAGAGAAGCTATTCTTTTCTATTTCTCAAATACTACTTCTGCTTCTCCTCAAAAAGTAATTTTTTTCATTTCAAAAGCTTGGCCAAATACCTCAATTTTTGCCCCAAAAAGCACTTTTGTTCCAAAAAAAAGGGAAATTTTCGTTCCTATACCATATAGGAAACTATATCACCAAATATGTTCATAATTTGCATATTACCCGTCATGCTAATAGTATTTCTACAAAATATAGACAATGCATTAAATAAGGAATCATTGCAGCTGTAGACTTCCTTATTTAGGCGCGCTAAAATTGGGAGATTAAATATTCTTCCAGATCTTCCACAATGCAAATCACGCACATTAATCTTCTTCCTCAGTTTCGTTTCAAATTTAGCGTCTCTGCTTTTTCGAAACACCGTATTTCAAACTTTTTTCTGATTTCACAAATCAAAAACGACTAAATCTTCTACAATTCTTCTACATCAAACGCAATTATGTCCAAATTTCAGTAATACAAAACAAAGGAAAAGAGAGCAGCAATTCCACCATTGACAGCCATTAAATATCTTTGAAGCTTTGAATTCAAATTTGAGTTTTCAAAAATTATTTGTTTGGATTGGGTGTTGTTTAAAATAATTGGGAATATGGTTTGGAGTTTATATCTCAATTTTGAGGGGTTTCGGTGAAGATTAGACTTGGTTTTGGCTGAATTTCAGATTAAAACTCGAAGAAGAAGAAGAAGAAGAAGAAGAAGAAGAAGAAGAAGAAGAAGAAGAAGAAGAAGAAGAAGAAGAAGACATGACATACGTTATATTGCAGAAATTGTAGAAATATTGTATTTTGTTGTTTATTTATTTTTCTTTTATTCATTTAACTATTGTATTAAAGTTGAACAACATTGTATAAAAATTATATTTAAGTGGTATTATATAGTAGTTGTATATAACCTAGTAGAAATAATGTACGAAAGTTATAGATAATTTTTAGATAAGTTGTATAATATATAATTAGTTGTATGAAAATTACTTTTACTATGTATAAATCAGATACAAAATATACAAAAGATATATTGTATAAAATTTGTATGTAAGTTTTATATTATTGTAGTTGTATTTCACTGGATGAAAATAATGTGTGAAAGTTGTAGAAAATTGTAGATAAGTTGTATTCCTGTATAACGTAAGATGTTGGCATATCAAGTAACTTTAGTATTCCAGACGAACATGCATGAAAATAAAGATAAATTTTGTTATGAACGGTTTGTAGAAATTTTGTAGATAATTTGTAGAAACATTGAAATTTTCATATTAATTTTTCAAATGATATGCAATTTTATTGTAGAATAAATGTAGAAAACAAGTCATTGTGAGTCTTATTTGACTCATTCTTCACATTCAACATATTCCATAAATTCACGCCTCTTTAAATACAATACAACCATACTTTCTTGAATTTAAAGGTATAACAATATATATAACTTAAAAAACATCTTCTCCTCTGCACAAGTTAGCTCCAAAACAGACGAAGTGGAATAACAAGCTCCCATCAAAACTTTTAACACAATAACGCAAAGCTCAAAAATAAATAAACAACATTCTACAATTTATCTACAATTTCTGCAATATAATGTATGTCATATCGTCTTCTTCTTCTTCTTCTTCTTCTTCTTCTTCTTCTTCTTCTTCTTCTTCTTCTTCTTCTTCTTCTTCTTCGAGTTTCAATCTGAAATTCAGCCAAAACCAAGTCTAATCTTCACCAAAACCCCTCAAAATTGAGATATAAACTCCAAACCATATTCCCAATTATTTACAACAACACCCAATCCAAAAACATACCACCTGACATTTGAATGATTTAATGCCACCGTCTCAGTCACAACTCGTGCAACACGAATTGCTGATGGGGTTCCACCTCTAAACGTATATTTAAATCTTGATGTGTCCCCAGAAATGCAAATCGGAGGTAAAGAATTGTAGTATTATTTGTGTAATTGGATGACATTTTTTCAAGAAAAACACAACCCCTCATTTTTGAACCAGCCTTCCACCACATTTTAACTAATTCTTTCCTAGTAGACTATGCTTTCTCGTTAGATGCAATACCAAATACAATATGTTCAAGATTTGTATCTAATAATAATGTTGAATCATTTTGAAGCGAAACTGACTTGTGGAGTAATTTGGTGTAATTACATTGTGGTGATACGTGGGTGAGGGCGTGGGTTTAGGAGAGAGAAATGTGGGCGTAGGGATATGGAGAAATATACAGTACCATAAATTAAGGAGTGATATAAGGTACAATTAATGTACAGTTAAAATATTTTATGGTATAGAATTGATAATTAGGCATACTAAATGTAATTATATCGTATCTTAAACATTGAGGGTAATATAGTTTCCCTAAATGGCATAGGAATATAAAAATTCCAAAAAAAAAAACTTAGCCAAACAGGCTATAAATAGCATGTTCTCTTTACTCATTTCGAAGACATTGACCAAAGCTGTAATCTTACACAAATATAAGGTGTTACCCCCAATTTTTCTTAAAAAATTTAAATTCCTTATATAATATAATGCAAAAATCCAACAAAAGGAACTCATCTAACTAAGTAAATGTGAGATAATATGAGTTACAGTGTATTATAAAAGCATGAATATTCTTGAAATGTCGACTGATTTTTATACTCTTTCAAAGCTAAATTTTTATTTAATGAGGCAATTTAATATAGGATATAATTATATTATTTAAAATATCACCCAATATTTAGAATTTTTAATTTAACTCATCTAGAATCAATTTGTTGAAATAGAATTCTTTCAGAACTTAAAATCACGTCCGTACTGCAGTAAATTGAACAAATATAAAATGTTACCCCTCTCCAGTCCCCTCCCCATTTTTTATTTCCTGGTAAATTGGCTATTTCTGAAAATTTCGCCAAGTTTCGTAATGATACGTGCGTATTTTACACCGATAGTAAGGTTATTTAAATAGAAGTAATTACATTTTGTGCCAAAAAGTTGAGAGATTAATACGTTCTTACGGAAGCTGGAGAATATGGCAACATCATATTTTTCTTTTAATCAAGATAAGCACACTTGTTTAGTTTAAACAAATATGAACATTTGATATTTATTAAATAAGAAAAAATGCCACTTTAATTCGATCTGCATCAAGAGCTTAAAACAATTCAAAGCCGAATCCCATTTTCTACGGCCGACTTTAAAAAGTTTTGACACCAAAGAAGCTAATTTTCCTTTTAGTTATGGCTTAAGTGAATAATTGATCATATAACTTTTCTCTTTGTATGCCAAAGTTAGAGGCTATAAGTGACAAAGCAATATAAATTATAAACCTAAAAGTAATTAAAATATTTGAATAATAAGTTGGCAAGAAGTATTCCAACCAGATTAATATTTGTATTCCAACGTCAAATCCACATATTTTGAAATGTTTAAAGAAACAAATTTCTCAAAAAAAAAAAGAAAAAAAAAGAAGCTTTTCTTTAAAAATATTTACAGCTCATGGTACCACTTTTTAAAATTTGAAAATTTGCTTCATCTCCGGAAAAGGTAAGGAGTTCTTTTCGAGTCAGCTTTTATATATGGAAAAGTTATATGACTTGTACAGTTTTTTTTTAACTTTGGTAAATAATTAATTTCATGTCTAGAAAACGGAAGTTATAATTTCCATAGTTGTGACCAACTCGAACTAGGAATGGGAGGTTGTAGTTTTGATATAAACCCTTGTGGTTCAGATCATACTGTAAAGCCGGCCCCTTATACAAGCCTGCAATTTCCAAGAACAAAAATTTGAGGTTCAAGTTGTGCTTAAAATTATGGCGGAAATAATAAGTGATGGAGAGGACAGAATATCAGAATTGCCAGTACACATAATTCATGACATCTTACGTCGGATTAATGTTGGTATATACGGAGCAAAAGAAGAAGCTCGAACTTGCGTCTTGTCTAAGACATGGAATTCAATTTGGAGAACGCGACCTAATGTGATCATTCAGTCCATCCACCGCAGTTTCTACAAGAATTTGGAGAATTTCGTTAAATTCGTCGATGATTCCTTACGGACCTATGCCGAGCAAAAATTAAGCATCGAAACACTATGTCTCATGCATCTTGATTGTCCTCAAGAATTGGCTTCTCATGTGGATCGCTGGTTCAACTTTGCACTTAAACTTCATGTCAGATATCTATGTATTGACGCATCTATGTTTGGTTCAACGTACTACAGCATACCTGATTCTGTTTATGCAGTGAATAATACGCTGACGGTATTATCTCTAGCGAATTGCAACATTGAAATAGATAATAGCACCAACAAATTGCAACGATTAATTAGTACATGCCCGTTGATTCGGGATCTAAGGTTAACTGATTGCAAGGGTTTCCAGAATTTCCATGTTACGGCGGGCCTAATAAATTTGGAGAGATTGGAGCTAATTTGGTGTAGAGAACTCATAAAGGTGAAAATAGGCGCTCCAAATCTTAAGAACTTTGTATTTGTTGGTGTGCCATTGCACAAGTACCCCAAGACACGTGAGCCAGAACCGATGCCTTGCACAATTGATATTTTAGATGGTAAGTCTTTAAAATCTCTCTCTTTGGAAGCTACCACAATGACGGACCAAGAGTTTGAATATCAATTATCTAAATTCTCAGCCCTTAAATTTTTGAAACTCAAAGGATGCTATGTAATGAAAAATATGAAAATTGTAAGTGAAAAACTGGAGATATTCGACTTGTCCGATCATAGGGGGAATCTGGAGCAAGTCAACATGGTGGCTCCAAATCTGATTGAGTTCAATTTTTCAAGTGGCAAAACATGCATGCCATTCTCAACTATGGATCCTTCTAGCCTAGAACGAGCCAATATCAATTTTTATGCCAAGTCATGTGATTCTTACGATTTTGGAGATGTGGACACAAGTTTGTATAATAATCTTCTAAACTTCATTCAAAAGTTCAACTATTCTAAGGGCCTAATATTAGTAATTCGTTGCGAGGAGGTAACTTTTTCTTCCTTTATTTTTATTGAACATATTCTCCCTTAATTTGTCCTATTTTAGTTGTCGTTTTTGCTCAAAACACGTCCATTAAAAAATATTAAGCACAAGATATAACTACTAGTGTACTGTATTACACCCTCATTTATTTCTTAGTGGACAGTTCTTCTATTGAAAAAATAGTAATATTGATTTCTTTTGACCTCTCTAATATAAGGGGTTAATTAATTTTTTTGTTGATTTCTCAAAAAGCCACAATTATTTTGGGATACTTTATTTAAGCTAATTAAAATGATACTTTGTTGTTTTGCGACGGAGGGAGTACTATTGGGCTTTTGGGCTTTAATATGCAGGAATTTCTTATTTATGAAGATTCAAGAGAAATTATGATTCCACCGGCGCAAAAACTAGAGCTACTCGTCAAGAATCCTTCAATGCGTCTTCCGTCATTCGTAAATGATATAATGTCATCTCGGCCCAAGATTGCATCTGTAGTGCATGGTATTGACTGCAAAATACCCCAGGTATAAATATAGTACTATGTTATATCTCAAAACGCCAATTTTTAAGTGATTCATTTTTTTATTCTCATGTCATAGTCGCTAAGGCGCACATATAAACATGTACAAACCAAAAATGCTACGTTGGACAAAAGATGTTAAAGCAAATAATTTTGAATCACATTTTCCACTATTCTTACCTATGATTTTGGAATAACAGGTCTTCCATGAGTCAGCAACGACATACACAAAGAAGCAGTACGGAAGGCTAAAAGAAGTCACTAATCACAAAGGCGTAGTAGCTGATGAGAATGGAGAAACATCTACTTTCTGCACTTGGCTGAAATCCACGTCTCTAATTGAGCGGATTACTACTTTTAGTTTTAAATGGGTGTAAACTCCTTTCCTCTAGATCTCTAATCTATCTTTTACATAATAATTGTTGCATTTTGAGTTGTACTATATGGAATTCTCAAATGAATCCATTGCCCCAATATCTGACCAAATATAGTAGTATATGAGTTTCTACGTGTGCATAGATAGATCTTAGTCCTTTTTGCTCAATATTTATAGCACCTACTGGATCATTCTGTACCGAGATAACAAGTGTTTTAACTTAATCCTGAGTAATACACGTTTCAGTTGGTGCATTTCGTTACAAAAATAGGAAGAAATAATCCAAATATATACTCCTATGTTATCAAGCATTGTTGTCGTCAAATCAAAGCAAAATCATAAACTTGCTAGCTCAAGTCTCTATATTTAATTTGCAGGGCAAGTCTACAAGAACACAACACCTTAGTAGGTGTTTGGACAATATTGGTTAAAGTTGAAAAAAAATTGTATTTGAAAGTTGAAATTGAGTTTGCACATGAATTTGAAAAAAAATGTTAATATATTTAGTGACTAAAAACTATTGTTATATTAGTTGAAATACTTTTTAAATAATAATATCAGCTTCTACTTTTCTATCTCATGTTATTGAAATATTTTCAGGTTTGGATTAACCTAACAATATGCAACTTGGTTAACAACTATTTTTCACATACAGTATAAGATTAATATAAAAATAAATATTGATATTTAATCATAATTAGTAAAAACTATTTATGCAATAGAATACTAAATCATAGTACTAATAATAGAAAAGGTCAACCTAATTTGATTAATTAGAGTGATAAGTTCAACCATTCAAAACAACAAAAGAGAATATATCACCCCATTTATGTGTTGTTCCACTTCAACACATTACCAGCAAGTCTACTAAAACAGCAATAATACTACTATTACAATTATAAAAACAACTAAAATAGTGCTCATTAAAAACTAAAATTACGAAAATCTACTTATCCTTCATCTGCACGAACCTTCCTTCAATCTTTGTCACAGAAGGAATACAGCTACCAAAGTCTTCAGCAGATCCCACAAAATTTCCACTGACAAAGTTAGCCTCAACAAACCGAGGTGGTTTTTCATCCTATGCAAAGGTCACAATTGTTAGAACAAAAATTAGTTGTAGAAAAAACTAAATTAAATTATAGGAGTAAATTAATTACAGTTTCAATCATCCAGCCTCCATTGAAGTTATATTCTTCGGGAACAAGTCCATGACACTCGAACACCATTAGAGGTGCCCAAACCTTCCTTTCAGCGTGTAAAGCTGTAAAAGCAGTGCCAGAACCGGGAATCAACCTCACAAACCCTTCCCGGGAACAAAACTTGCACTGCATTTACATATGTGCAAAGAAAAAAATTATGTTTGTGGCAAACAACTTAAAAATGATAAATAACGTAACTTATTTCTGTTTTCTACCTTCAACTTGAGGTTAAAAATCTTTCCCTTATACTTCACCATCTCTTTCAGATAAGCACACTGCTCCCCAGTCATGTCTCCACAATTCTCACATCTCATCTAAACGTAGATTAGCAAACAAGAGAAAAAAAATGGTAAGACATCTGTTGAATTCTTACCAAGTATAAGAAAAAGGAAGAGATTAAAACAGAAAATAAACCATTAAATATCCGTAGGAAGACAAATAAACAGAGAAAAGAAAAAATGGTAAGACAAGTATTTTCATGTATAAGAAAAATAAATAGATAGAAGAAGAAGTTAAAGCAGAGAAGGAACCACTACTGAATATTCTTAGGAAGAAAAATAGACAGAAGAAAACAAAAATGGTTTCCTCTGCAGAATCCTAGCTATAAGAAAAAGAAATAGCCAGAGGAAGAAGATAAAGAATAGAATAAACCACTAAATATTTTTAGGAAAAAAAATGGTAAGACAAGTATTTTTCTGTGAATAAGAACGGAAAAATAAATAGAGGATAGAGCTTACCTTGAAGAAGTAACCCATGTCGTCATTGTTGACTCCTCCGTTTGGAGCCAAAGATTTGATGTTCTTCATATCTGCAAAAATTTCAAGCTCGAACTTTGTGGATTTCATCTTGCAGATGTTGAAATGAGAGTATTGTTGTGACTATAGGGTCTTATATATAATATATAGGGTATAAAGTGTGTGGGTTGTTTGGGGTTAAAGGGCATTTTTGACTAATGCCTCTGCCAGGGGACTGCGCACAGCCTAGACTAGCAACTGCATTTATTAACAGCAGTGGGCCCCATTATATCTTTTACAACGTTTTACACCCAAATCAAAATCAGGTATTTGCTGGCTCACATCTCTCCTCCTCAATAGTGATATAATAATACTCCATAGATAATGACATTTTAAATTGTGTGACCAATCAAATGAAAATGTTTGTAATATTATTTATTACGTAGGTAACACTTAGTGGCACGAAAAACAAGAATCCGGAACCTAAATAATGTAACGGATATTAAGAATTGAGGAGTAACGGATATTAAGGACTTCCTCTGTTTTATTTCATAGGATGAGATTGGAGATATAATCAAAGTAAGTAGTAATATATTACTTTAAGAATCTTTGTAAAAGAAAATGATCAACGAAGTTGGTTCTTATTTCTATTAGGTGATTTTTTTTGTTGGACAGAGTTACTTGGTATTTGTACTGGCAGGAGGTAGCATGTATCTTATAAAATTTGTCGAGATGTGCGCAAATTGGTCTGGAATCTATAATTATTTTTAAAAAAAATTGTTCTGACTCTTTAAATAACATATATAAGTAGGTATCTTATGAAATTAATCAAGGTGCAAGTTGGTCCGAATATCATTATTATAAGAAATTTTTAAAAGAAAATCGTTCTGACTCTTCAAATAATAATAGTGAATAAACATGTAACAAAACATTCAGTTATGATGTAAATTCACACACAAAGTTATATATGACATTGATGTTCAACAAGCAAAAAAACAGGATTAGTTTTATTCTAAACTTACCTTAAATTGAAATTTTTAATATCTTTGTCATGAATCTACTGGCCCATAATGAAGTTGTGATAGAAGACAAATAAAGACTCCCAACTCATTGCGTTCTACAACATGTTTACCTAAAATTCTTTTCTGTTAAGTAATAAAAGTGTTTATAGCTAATCGTATTTATCATGGAAAAAGTATCTTTTAGCTAGGATAACATAATGCAATTGTCTTTATACACTGTAGTTTTTTAACCGATTAGTAGCAATTTTACACATAGATAAACATCCCACATTTTTCTGCCTTGTTAAGAGAGATAATGAAGGGCGTTTGAAACTGTAATCTGTTGTGAAATAAGAAACTGTAATTAATTTGTGTTGTGTACTTATAGTTTTTACTTAAAACTTGAGCTGATTTTAAGTGTAAATATAATTTTTACATATAAAAGGATAGTCACATGCTTGAAAACGATTTAAAAAAAAAAAAAAGATTAACTTAAATATAAGAGACAAAGACTATTAGAAAATTTGAACTGTGTTTGGACGTGGAAAGAAGTTGCAACTATGTGGCAGAAAACTTTAGAATTAGAGAATTCGAAGTTCGAAAACCTGTTTCTCAACCATCAAGTAAACTCTTTCAAGTTGTAATTGAAAATGACATAATTTGATAAACAAATACTTAATTTGATTTTTTTTGTTTATTTAAAAATATTATGAATGAACAAAGGCATTGAACTATTGCCTTCAACTCTATAATTTAGGATTTGTATGAAAAATGGTTTAGTTCATTTAATTTACAGTGTACAATAGGTCTAATGAATCGTGAAAAAATTCTTTGTATTCCCTCAAATTGTATACATGAAAATTGTGGTTATTTTTAATCTTTTGTAATCTAGTATGAATATGTGGTCATATTAGCATAGATAAGATTAAAAATGATCACATTCGCCAAAAAGTGCAAGTAGCACACATTGAGGGTAAAATGAGAGTGCCGCTTGAGATGATTTGGTCACGTTTTGTGTCGCCTTATAGAGACACTAATCCGTAGGTGTGAAATGGATGAGGTAGACCTAAAATCATATAGAAGCATCTCGAAAGACCAACAAATTATTGGAATCAATACAAATTTAGCTAAAGGTTGTTGTACAAATACAATGGAAGAAATAATATATATATAATTTTGTTTTGGGATGATGATGATATAAGTTGAGTTTAAGAAAAAAAGTGAGGACTCGTATCGACGACTCCAAATTTGTTAGGGAGTGAGGCATAATTATTGTCGTCGAATATCTCTTTAATAATTGCTAATTTTTCATGTGTCAATGGTTTTCCAATACTGTCTTCCTATGTGCTTTACCGCATGAACTTAACACTCTTTAACTTAAACACGCGGATATGGTGCATCGAAATTTTAGACGATTAATAAGTTATTTAAAAGATATTATAAGTAACTTTCATAAATGTGAGATTTATAAATCTAATATATAACGCATCAGGTAAAAGCGATCTTGTAGACTAAATTTTCCTTTACCACGTTATGTTTATGAGTTATGAATGCTTGCATGTATACGTATGCATGGAGCTATTTAATTTTAAGCTATATATCATCAAAAAATTCCATAGTTGATTCACTTCGTTGTTTGTGGTCCCGTACTACTCATATACATATCACAATTCCTATAAGATTTGCAAGTGGACCACCTTTTCATGATATTAATCCTGTAATGTCATGGCATATGGTTTTCTGGGCAGATCTAAATCGACGAATTTATTTTCTTAATAATCAATGTAAATTTAGTGATTTTAAAATGTAATTTAATGACTTTCCCCGAAAGAATCTTGAATTATGGTTGTGTCTTTAACCGCGCGTATAGAATATTTTCTTTTTACCTGTAACCGGAAAATGTGAACACTGGTGTCAGTGACAATGAGTGGGGAGAGTGTATATTTGCAGAGTGAAAAAGAAAATAAGGTGTCATATATAGCCCCACCTGTATTTATTTGGACTCTTTACGACTTTCTTCTTAATTAATATATGGGATTTTAAAGTTCAAAAAAAAAAACAGTAAATATGCCTACACCTACAAAGCTATTACCATAATAACAAGTATAGGAAAAAGAAAGAGAAGTTGTACAATATTTTACACCCGAATTAAGTATTTGTTGGCTGGCATCTCTCCTCCTCGGTACACACTGATAGTGATATTTTATATTTTAAGGCCAGTTAAATATGATCATAAATAATATATATAGATAATGACATATTAAATTGTGTGAGCAATCAAATGTGGTCATATATAATAAAATAATGATCTCTAGCCAAAAATTAAGTTGGCATGGTTCTTGTAATTAAATTCGGTTGGGTATCCAATATTGTGGACTCTGCAAGGCTAATGGAAGAACTGAAAATTGTTTGTGCTTGCACCTGGATAAAAAATTGAAGCTTTATGAAAAGTGAACTTGTACAAAAAAATAAATATATTTCAAGTTGAAGCAGAAAAATGGCATAATCTGATAAACAAACACTTATTTGATTTTTTTTTAAGTTTATATGAAAAAAATATGCATGGTCAAATACCTACGAATTGCCTTCAAATCTATAAATTTAGGATTTCTATGAAAAATTGTTAAGTTGATTTGTAGTATATGGCTATGAAGAATCTTGAAAGAAATTGCTTGTATTTTTTTAAATTGTATACACGTAATATCTCTTTAATCAGAGTAATTTTTCACGCTTTGATGCCTTTTTTTAATGCTGCACTCTTTCTACTTTTTCTAGTAGTATGGTGTGCGCCTATATGCATTTATCACATGAGTTTAATACTTTATATCTTATATATATGGTGATCATTTAATTTAAAAGATACTTTATCGGTAACATTTAATAAAGGCGCCTTTAATAAACATAAAATACGTAATTCTGTAATAAATAAAGCAGGTTATACCTCCCACAACAGATAAAAGACATCTGATAAACTAAATATTTTTTCACATCAATGTATGTAAGTTAAAAATCTTTCCATATTGTGTTTGTAACCGAAGAATGGTTGCATGTCTTTGTATGCATGGAGCTCTTTCTTGGACGTGGAAATCTGAATATTGCATAATTTAAGGTATCACCAATCCCACAATTGATTCACTTTGTTGTTGTGGTATATATATATATATATATATATATCGGGGTTGCCCTTTTTTTATGATCAATCGAGACAAGGGCGTGACAGGCCGAGGTTCGACCCAATGTCATGTTGGTCTGTGGCATGGAGTTTGATTGCCAAGCTCGTAATTCAAGGACCGATCGAGATCGCGGTCAACCAAGATCAAGATCGAGTGGGATAGAGTTCGAGTGAGATCGAGATAGGCTTACCGAACTAAGTAACGGAAAGTCGAAATATCTGAGATCGGGCGAGGATCATGGCAGAGATCTCGGCACGTATCTGTTGTTCAGTTCATACTTTTCAATTATACTTTCATTTGGTTCGAGGGCGATCTACCTCGAAGGTCAACCTGCGCTTTATATTGATTTGCTTTATTTTACAGTTAACTTCTAACGTTAATTCTCATATTTCTCAGTTTGTGCCAAGCGAAAATTACATATCCTTAAAATCACTTACAAATCTTATTGTTATCAAATTTTAAGGGTAAACATATATATTGTGCATTGCGCAATTCCTCTAAGGTTTGCAAGTGGACAACCATTACATATACAATATTAAATTATTGGAAGACTATTGTAGTTTATAAATTCAAATGATTAAACATCAAATATCCAATTGAAGAGGGCTGTGTATTAATATCTACTTAGCATTGAATTCGACTCTGTAATACAAAATTACAAAATAATACTAGTATCTATTAAGAAAACAATACTAATACAAGACTACAAAAATAATAAAATAACAAACCAACCTGTTTATTCATATATAAATATTGGTATAAAATAAAAAAGAAACGAACTAACAAATAACCACAGTGGCTCGGTCCCGGGTCCACTACTACCGTACTCTGCAGTAAAGTGATGTGACTCTATCGGTAGTATTTGAGGAATACACATAATTTTAACAAATCCGATATTGAAATGATGTCCTTTTTGGCACAAAATACGTTTTTACAGTTAAAAAAAAGTTA